CTGTGTGCATCTGTGTGTATTTCCTGTGTGCATCGTGTGTACTTCCTGTGTGCATGGGTGTGTACTTCCTGTGTACATCTGTGTGTACTTCCTGTGTATAACTGTCCTCCTGTCATGGAGTGTGGCTCCTTTGAGTAAGTGAGATAAGAGCGAACGTTTTTCTCCAACTTGAGTAAAATGTTCCTCTGGTCATTGAACGCCACCTCACCAGCTCATGATCAGAGTCTGATGAGCAGCTGTGTGACGTAGAATGCTGCGTTCAATGACCCTAAAACAGCTGTTTGTTCTGCTGCTCTGAACGTCTCAACGTTCTCGTGGTTTCACCATAATTTGCAGCGTCTTGACTTGTTAAACTGTGTTTTTAATTTATATTTGTTGCTTCACTTTTACTCAGACGAGTGGTAAAAGTGTCAATCATGACCCTTTTGGCTTGTTGTACGTGTCGGCTTTAGCTTCTCCTTCAGCTGCAGTGCAGTGTTCTGACATCTTCCTTTAGCATTCTCTGATATCATTCAGGATTCATTGTTCCATCAATGACGGCCCAGATGCAGCAAAGCAGGCCCAAACCATGATACTACCACCACCGTGTTTCACAGATAGGATAAGGTTCTTCTGCAGGAATGCTGCGTTTACTTTGTCCAAACATAACAATTTAAATTTACCGGTAAACTAAAAAGTTCTGTTTTGGTCTCATACGTCCACAAAACGTTCTTCTGGCTCGTCCTCATGGTCACAGCTCTATACTAGATCTCTACAAAGAACAATCAGAGCTTTGTCACAGTCATACACCGATGGGACACGCATCGGAGACAATGAGGGGTTCGGTGTCCAGGATCAAACAGGATCAAAGCTCAGAGCAGGAACTCGCTGCATGTGGCAACAAGAAGGTGGAGAAACTTTCTCTTCCTCTTGTGGCATTTCCCCCCAGTTCTGTGGACGCTGACTCATCACATGGCTGAGGGATTTCAGGTTAATTTAAACATGTTTCTTAAATAAATTCAAATGTATTTCTGTGGCATAATGTACGATGATTGATCTAGTTACTAATAAACCTCTTTAATTTAAGATTGAATGTTCAGCACGTGTGCTGCTCTGTCAGCCAGTCACTTCTGTTAACAGCCTGAAAGTACAGAGCTTATAAGGAAATACGTGAAACAGAAGGCATGTTGGCAAAGGACATGTTCTGCCATGGTGGGTGCCGACTGCTGAAAGACTGCTGAAGTAGCTGAAACTGGTGGGAAAGCTAAAATAAGCAGGACACGAGCTAAAGGGAGCGAACCATGACCTAAAAATAGCCAAAGGCTTTCTAAAAGCCAACTGTAAAGGCTTATCGGCTGTCGCTCAGGGCTGAGTTCTTCTTCTGAACTTTGAGTGAGGGAGTAGAGTCCAGTACGGGGACGACCGGCCCTGCCACGACGTGGACTGGAGCCTGCAGTGGCTCCAGGTGTGGTCGGGTTGATGCTTTGTTGGCTGGACGCTGGCTTCTTTCTCTGGACTCTTCTAGCCGGTGTTCTAAGACGGCACCGGTACCTCACTGGCAATTGAGGCAATGGAAAGGGGAACGTTGCTCGATGACCGATGCTGCTTGACGCAGTCGTTGTATCTAAGCTTTGGACCACCTACTCCTCTCTGACCATGTTGGAGCTCTCCGAAGAAGATGGCTTTCAGCCGTGTCCTGTTCCAGTGACGTGGCCAGTCCGTCTTAGCTTCCACACTGGGGATGTTGGCACGCTTTCTGACTCTGCAGAGTTGGAGAGCTTGTCTTTCCAGTTGGCCTTGAGCAGCTGATGGAGGTGGGACATCTGTACTCGTTGTAAACGTGCTGACGGTACAGTATGTCCGTTGCGGCTGAGCAGAGCAGGCGTGGTGGCACAACAGCTCTGGAGACATTCCCGTTTGTTTGATGCCAGGGTGTTCCCAAACCTAGTTCTGGAGTTTCTCAATCACGGCTGAAGCAGCACTGTGTTCGTTCGACAGGGCACTGCCAAGGTGACAGGCCGCCGCTCACCTGGATGGTGATGTCAGCCAAATGTAAACGGCTAGAACCTAAAAGCAGCAAAAGGCTAGTTGACGGCTAAAAGTACTAAAAGGCTATAGTATAAGTATTCATCGTTGATGTTGATTCCACTCATGGGCGTTGATGTCCGATCATCTTTTTGTTTTGAATCTGTGTGTTCTTCAGGGCCACTGGAGAAGAATCCAAGGTGAAACCATATCTGCCACCAGATAAACAGTTTCTCCTGACCCGGAATGGTAAGACCTTAATCTCTTCACACACTGACCGAAGTCTGAGTGAGCCGAGACCTTTCCTTTGTTTAAATCATGTTTTTAAACCTGACAGAGCAACAAATGAGGCACCGAACAGGTTTTTTCATGTGAACTCGTGTGTGTTGACCATGAACCAGCTGAACCACCGCCACCTGTTGTCTCTGAGTTTAGTAAACCTGGTTACAGAAAGAAAGCCTGGATTTGTTGGTGCTAGTTTGTATGTCCAGTTTCAGCTCTTTGGGAACCAGCTTGTTCTGTACACTCTTGTTTTTGGTATTTTTCATGGATCCAGAGACGTGGTAAGAGGTTGTGTCTCTGGGAACAAAGAACCTAAAGGTCCGGTTTGATTTTTTTCCTCCTCTCTCCTGCAGTTCCTTGTTACAAGCGCTGTAAACAGATGGAGTACTCTGACGAGCTGGAAGCCATCATAGAAGAAGACGACGGCGATGGAGGCTGGGTGGACACCTATCACAACTCAAGTACGAACGTCCTGACCCAACCCGCTTCGGCTGGACAATACTTTATCTATCTCTGAAGACTGAGCACACCGTGAAACACACAAGTCATAATGATCCCTAACAGCTGAAGCAAGGTATGGAGTGACAGTGAAAGGTTTGTTCAGCCTCAACCATCACCTGGTTGTTCCTGTTGAACCATCTGCTGGCTTCCATTACGTCACCATGACGTCCCAATCTAGGATTCAAAGTGTCTTTATTTGTCCTTCCACCACATGTGGTACATGTGGTGGAAGGACATTGTGTACACAGGGTCCCAGTTACAGCCAACAAAAGTATACATTGTAAAAGAAAAACAGTAATAAGATCTAAGATATGAGCTAAGAGATGTGCTAAACTAAGAATACACTAAACATTAGTAGTACAAAAACAATACGCTGAACAGCAGCAGCACGAACATGAGTCTGTGTGAGCAGATGAGTACGACTGAACACAGCAACATGAAATAGATCAGCAGCATGAGATCAGCAGCATGAAATAAATCTGCAGCATGAAATAAATCTGCAGCATGAAATAAATAGGCAGCATGAGATCAGCAGTATGAAATAAATCAGCAGCGTGAGATCAGCAGCATGAAATAAATCAGAAGCATGAAATAAATCGGAAGCATGAGATCAGCAGCATGAAATAAATCGGAAGCATGAAATAAATCGGAAGCATGAAATAAATCTGAAGCATGAGATCAGCAGCATGAAATAAATCGGAAGCATGAAATACATCTGCAGCATGAGATCAGCAGCATAAAATAAATCTGCAGCATGAAATAAATCTGCAGCATGAGATCAGCAGCATGAAATAAATTTGAAGCATGAAATAAATTTGAAGCATGAAATAAATTGGAAGCATGAGATCAGCAGCATGAGATCAGCAGCATGAAATAAATCTGCAGCATGAAATAAATCAGCAGCATGAGATCAGCAGCATGAGATCAGCAGCATGAAATAAATCTGAAGCATGAAATAAATCTGCAGCGTGAAATAAATCAGCAGCATGAGATCAGCAGCATGAAATAAATCGGAAGCGTGAAATAAATCAGCAGCATGAAATAAATCAGCAGCATGAAATAAATCTGCAGCATGAAATAAATCAGCAGCATGAAATAAATCAGCAGCATGAAATAAATCAGCAGCATGAGATCAGCAGCATGAATGAAATGCAACCTGAAGAGAACTTTAGAGGGCATCTGGACCTGAGTATTTGGTCCTAAACCATATGAAGTCAAAGAATGTGGCTCATTTGTAGAACCAAGCAGTAAAACGGAAAAAATAAACCACATCTACAAATTTTCTTGTTCTTCAAGGATTATTTTTAATCCCAAAAACTAGGCAGAAAACTGATCACACTGCTGCTAGAAGGTGTCCATAATCTGAGGTCTTCTGTGGTCTCAATACTTTCCTGAAGACCTGAACATGACCCTGGAAAGAACATCCATGTTCTGACTGACTGATTTATTTGGGGTCATATCAGGTCGTAATCCAGTGTGTGGGGGGTCAACGGTTGTGAGCAAAACTCATAAGAAAGATGATGTCACAGGGCCTCATCAAGCACACCACCCTAAACCTGTACAGGCTGTTTCATGCAGGGTATTATGGTGCGAGTCAGCTTTCACACTGTTCTTTAACATTAAGAAAACAAAAAGTTCAGCTCGTTCAAGAGATGGGTACAACTTTTGCTTTTAATATTTTTTTAAATACTTTTCAAAATATTTGACTTTCTTCACAAAAGAAATTGTTACAATACATTAAGATCTCTACGAATTCTTCACATGCATTGTTCATTTTGAAATCTTCATCTTGCGACTACTTTTTTTTTCCTCCCAGGCTCTCATCGAGGTGGCAGCTTCTGTTTCTCCTCCCCCGTTTTCCTTCTTCCTGCTCTGCTCTCTGTGTGTCTGAAGCGCCTGGGTCTCATCTCACGAACATAAATTAAGAAGATTATGGATTTGGTATTGTGGGCGTTCAACTCTATTGATAAGATTTTTTTCATCAAAGCGACAAGGTCCTGGAGAACCGGCGTGTCCAGCTGAGACTCACGCTGTGGGGTACGTCATGGATTCATGGGGAGTGTGGCAGATGATGTGCATTACAGTCCTGTCTCAAGAAGATGTTGAAGACGTTTACATATTTGGACTTATGATAGCAGGGTCTCTGCTTTTTGGCATTGGCGGGGCTCTGTTTTATCGACTTTTGAAGAAGACATCGGGAGCAGTTTTGGCCATGGAAAAAGTTGGGATAAGTCCATTTTTCCCACTGTGTGGCATCCCCCCTTCTTCTTCCAACACTCAACAGACGTCTGGGGACAGAGGAGACCAGTTTCTCCAGTTTAGAAATAGGAATGCTCTCCCATTCATGTCTAATACAGGCCTCTAACTGTTCAATCGTCTTGGGCCTTCTTTGTTGCACCTTCCTCTTTATGATGCACCAAATGTTCTCTATAGGTGAAAGATCTGGACTGCAGGCCGGCCATTTCAGTACCTGGATCCTTCTCCTACGTAGCCTTGATGTTGTGATTGCTGCAGAATGTGGTCTGGCATTATCGTGTTGAAAAATGCAGGGTCTTCCTTGAAAGAGATGACGTCTAGATGGGAGCATATGTTGTTCTAGAACCTGAACATAGTTCTCTGCATTAATGGTGCCTTTCCAGACATGCAAGCTGCCCATGCCACAAGCGCTCATGCAACCCCATACCATCAGTGATGCAGGCTTCTGAACGGAGCGTTGATAACAACTTGGGCTATCCTTGTCCTCTCTGGTCCGGATGACATGGCGTCCCAGTGTTCCATAAAGAACTTCAAATCGTGACTCATCTGACCACAGAACAGTCTTCCATTTTGCCACACTCCATTTTAAATGACCCCTGGCCCAGTGCAAACGTCTGAGCTTGTGGAGCTTGCTTAGAAATGGCTTCCTCTTTGCACTGTAGAGTTTCAGCTGGCAACAGCGGATGGCACGGTGGATTGTGTTCACTGACTATGCTTTCTGGAAGTATTCCTGAGCCCATTCTGTTATTTCCTTGACAGTGGCATTCCTGTTTGAGGTGCGGTGACATTTAAGGGCCCGGAGATCATGAGCATCCAGTAGAGATTTACGGCCTTGACCCTTACGCACAGCGATTGTTCCAGATTCTCTGAATCTTTTGATGATGTTATGCACGGTTGATGATGATAACTTAAAAGTCTTTGCTATTTTACGCTGGGTAACACCATTCTGGTAATGCTGATGATTGTTAAGCCTGCAACTTGAAGACGTCTCAGGGCCTCTGTTAAATGCTGCAGATGTTCCTCCCATGAGTAACTGTAAATCATAATATCATCAAGATAGGCATATGCATAATGATATCCACTCAATATGTGGTCCATAAGCCTTTGGAACATTGCTGGGGTACCATGCAGCCCAGAAGGCAGGACTTTAAGGCCACAGATGGCTTTCCAAACATTGTAGCAGCTGGCTAGAAATCTTCAACTTTATCACCTGCAGGTTCACTCTGTTGAGTTCTCTGACTTGACCTGTTGAATATCCACTTGTGTGTACAAAGTGAACACAGCTTCACATTTTCTGGACCAACATGTGTAAAGACATTGTTCTGCTGTAGATGGTGGTGTGTTACCCACTAGGGTGGATAAACCAGCAAGTCATGATCTGCCTGCTGGTGATGTCACTTATCTCTATAGTTTCTGATGTGTTTAAGGTTTGAGTCTGATTGTGTCTCAGCAGGTGTGTTGGGAGTCACAGATACCATCAGAGACATTTCTTTGGACAATAATAAGGTATGTTTCATATTTTATAATTTCTTATTTTTGAGTGCATAATTAATGTGTTCATTTTAAATTGCCTCAGAATGATAAAACTTAGGCAGCAATACATACTTACCCGGTACGTTCAAGGCATAAAACCTGGTGTTTTCAGGGTACATAACGGGTATTTTCATGGTCCTTACTTAGTACATACCCTGTACTTACCATGCATGTACCAGGTGTTTACAGGGATTTATATCTGATATGTACTTTTCAAGTGCTTACAGGGTACTAAGAGGTTGCTTACAGGGTAAACACTGGGTACTTTTACATTACACACCAGAGTCACTGATAGGATACATACTGGGTGTGTACAGGATACCTACATGGTACTTGCACATGTACAGTAGAAGGTCTTTACCGGCGACTTGCAAGGTGCTCACTAGGTACATACCATGTGCTTACCGGGTATACGGGATACAAGGCACATGAGAGTACTTGGCGGTTGTGCATGGGTATATACAAGGCACTTGAGAGAACTTGACAGATTTGAATGGATATGCACAAGGCATTTGAGGGTAGTTAGCAGGTATGTACAGGTAAGCACAAGGCAC